GTGCACACACACAGATGCAGGCACACATGTGTGGTACACACCCACACACATGCACGTGCACACATGTGTACACACTCAGAGATGCAGGCACACATGTGCAGTACACACCCACACACACACGTGCACATGTGTGTACACACACAGATGCAGGCACACGTGTGGTATACACCCGTGCATGTGCACACTTGTTGAATTTTCCTAGTGTGACCTGTGTCCTTATTAAAGCAGCTCATCGGCAATGACTAAGGCAGTATGGCCCAGGAATGTGGTTTTCTTGGTGTCTTCCTCCCTCCCACCTGGCCCCATGGTGGACGTGTCCCTTCTCTGCTGGAGGAGGCAGGCTGGGTGGCAGCGCCCTTCACGGGCGTTGGAGACAGAGAGATCTGGTGTGAATTGCATGGGCCCGTTTTCCTGATTTATAAGGTAATCCTCTTAATTTCCATCCGACGGTGCTTTCGTGAGGATTAAATGCATTAATGTATCTGAAATGCTTAGCATGCTGCCCCGTGTTTCGTCAGTGCTCAGAAACGGTGCCTGTTCTTTCATCATCATCATCATCATCATTATTACTAATTATCATTTCCCTGGTCGCTGCAGACACTAGCTGCATCCTCATGTGGTTATCCATGAGGGGGGCACGTGGTTCATTTCGGGATGGAATGGAGCTTCACTTTCCCGCCAGGTGTCCGGATATTGTGCTACAGATAAGAACAGGTCTCAATAAAGATGAAAAAGATAAATAGACAGTTTTTTAAAAAAAAATCCCACTTACGGGCAGTAACACCTATTCATATGGAAACAGGCCTGCATCCCAGACTCTAGAAACCTGCGCGGAACAACACTGAGGTGTTGGCTCCTGTCTCCTCTGTCCTGCGGGGGGCCTGCTGCCGTGGCGGCTCCCGAAACCCATAGTGCTGGGCGCCATACGGGCATGACGATTCGGGCCTGGCAGGTGGCGAGGGGCCCTCCGTTGGGCCTGCTGGGCCTGGGACGTGTGTGCTGCGGGGGGTCTCCCCCGGCTGGGCCCCTGCAGGAACCCAGGCTGCTGGGTGAGGTGCCTCACCTCTGCTGGGAGCTGTGCAGTCCATCCTGGGGTTGGCTTGGGGTTGGAGGCTGTCCTGTCCTTTGTGACCTGGGGACAGAGGTCCAGAGAGGGCATGTGTCCCAGGCACATGGTGTATGGGTGTCCTTGGGTGGCCAGAACTGGTGACCACCAGCGGTCTGGCTTAGAACCACAGAAATCTGTCCCCTCTGGAGACAGCAGCCGGAGGTCAAGGTGGCGAGGGCTTGTCTCCCTCCCATGGCTCCAGTGGAGGGTCCTTCCTGCCTCCTCCAGCCTGTGGGGGCTGCAGGCGTCCCTCCCGTGTCTGCCTCCTCCAAAGACGCCTGTCACTGGATTCAGGGCCACCCTGATCTCAGATTCTTCGTGTCACAGCTGCATGGCCCCAGGCGCAGGCTCTGGGGCAGGCCACGGCATGCCTTTTTGGGGCCACCTGCAGACCACTTCACCTTGTCATCAACACCTTCCACACTCGTGCTGTAACCCAGAGGGCGACGGTTTTCCACGGGAGTGTGAATTTGGGTAAATTCTGTATGTCTTGGATGAGCCCGATTTCTTCATTTGCGTCTGTCCCTCGAACAGTAGCAGGTGTGGGCACGGGACTGGTAGTGTCCCTGGCGCCCTTGGCCCCCCACCACCAAGGGAAGGTTTTATCAAGTCCCGCCTTCAGATGGACGCTGGTGGGCACGGGGGCTGAGCTCCGACTGAAGGCACGCGAGCAGGGAGCGAGGCTGGTGAGAACAGGGGTCCTGGGGTCTGCAGGCTCTGTGGCGCCTCGGTGAGCCCTACTTTTGGAGCAGGAGCCTTTGAGCCCTGTTCTTGCAGGACCAGCAGCAAGATGCAGCCAAGCACCACCTGCCTGGCTGGGAAGGGGGGCTCTGACCTGGGCACGGCCGAGGGCTCCCGTCCAGGCACAGGGGTCCAGAAAGGCGTGAGCAGAGCTGACGGCTGAGAGGGACCTTGATGGAGTGGTGGGCCTAGGGTCTTTCCTTCTGCAGACGTCTAGTGCTCAGGTCAGGGGATGAGCTTCGCCGTCCGCCCTCCGGCTAGCTCTGCAGCATGCTGGCGGTCAGCGGAGTGTCAAGCTGCTATTCCGCTGGGGACCTACGTGCTGGACCTACCTTCCTGCTGGCGGCACCTGCAGGTGGCTGGTTCCATGCATTTTATTGCTAGGATGGGCTTCCAGGGGCTGCCCGCGCCTTCTTCTGGCTTCCCCAAGGTCTGAAGCGCCTCGCGGGCGGACTCTTGTCTTTTGCTCCTCCAATAACATTTTTTAAAATTGAAGTATGATTAACCTATACTGTTATATTAGATATTAGTTTCAGGTGTACAACATTCAACAGTTCTGTGCGTGCCTCAGTACTCATGATGATAAGTGTACTTTTAATCCCCCTCACCTGTCTCCCATCCCCCACCACCTCCCTGCTAGTGAACAGCAGTGTGTTCTCTAGAGCTAAGAGTCTGTTTCTTGTTTTGTCACTTTTTTCTTTGTTTTTTCTTCAATTCCACATATGAGTGAAATCATATGGTATTTGTCTTTCTCTGACTTATTTAACTCCATATAATACCCTCTAGCTCCATCCGTGTTGTGCAAATGGCAAGATTTCTTTCTTTTTTATGGCTGAGTAATAGTCCATTGTATATACACCACATCTTCTTTTTTTTTTAATTTTTTAATTTTTTTATTCTTATGTTAATCCCCATACATTACATCATTAGTTTTAGATGAAGTGTTCCATGATTCATTGTTCGTGCACAACACCCAGTGCTCC